TCTGTGTGTGTGTGTGTGTGTGTGTGTGTGTGTGTGTGATCTGTGTGTGTGTCATGTGTGTGTGTCCAAACTGTGTGATTATTATTTGTGAAATGTGGAGCAAAACTTCAGATTCAGGATTTTAAAGAGTAAAAAGTTTGGAGATTAAATGTTGGGGAAGTTGAGTCACTGTGGAGAATCTGCAGCTTCAGTTTCATCTTGATTTTCCATCGGAGCCAAAATGAATTTACAGAAACTGTTTTACTGATTTTCAGACACATCAGGTTCAGCTCCTTTAATCTGATCAACACAAAGTGGTTTATTGTTTTGAACTCGTCTGTTGTGTTAAATAATCAGACTCACATTCAGACTCTGTGTTGAATGTCTCTCCCACTCTCCACCTCTTTCACTCTCCACCTCTTTCACTCTCCACCTCTTTCACTCTCCACCTCTTTCACTCTCCACCTCTTTCACTCTCCACCTCTTTCACTCTCCACGTCTGTTTCACATCTGAACACTGAAGGCTGCAGATGAACAGTTATTAAGTCACTACACATTATTAAAGAATGTGTCAAATTATTCAGCTGCTTCTTCCAAATTCTCTCTTTATGAAAACAACTTCACATTTCTCTGCCTTCCAACATTCTGCCCTTAAGTTTTTGTGTGAGTTTTTCCTCTTTCTTTTGTGGCTGTGACTGAGGGAGTTTAGTTTAATAATCTGTTATTATTAATTTGTTTCACAGAGAATGTGAGGCCAGAGAAAAAGCGGCAAAACAGAGGATTGAGCAGCTCCTCCGCAGGTAAAGTCTGATCACACCTGAGTCTGACCTGGTTTAATGTGAGACGTAGAGTTTATAGAATCTTTATTTAACATTTTCAAACATGAGCTCTGTGTCCCAGATGGAGCTGTACAGGTGAAGTGTGAACTCTTCTAATCAAATACAACTTTTACTCACAACTGTTCATTTCTAACTCTTACAAACGTTTATACACAGTCCAGTTGTTGATGAGCACAGATTTGAAACGTTCACTTCCACTGTAGATCAGACCAGAGGTTCTGACTCTGTGTTTGACTCCACAGAGAAGACGAGAGGAGCAGAGAGCAGGACTCTGAGGAACATCTGCAGAAGAAGAAGAAGAACCTCATCAGTTTGTTCAGAAACATCGAAGGATCAGGATTAATCAGGAGGTGAGATGTTAAAGATGTTTGAGTGTGATGGTGTGTGTGATTGTGCGTCACAGCTCCTCCTCAGAGTCTGTCACACTGCTGCTGTGAGGGGCACCTGGGCTCTTCCTCACAACTGTCTCAGAGTGGATCAGCTGAGTCTGAGAACTGTGGGGAAATACAGTGAAGAACTGAGCTCTTTACATGTCTCCACAGGTGGGGGATAATGTTCTGGCGACCCCAGAAGTCATCATCTCTGTGTGAGGAGCTGGACGAGGCTGTAAAGAACTTCCTGTACCAGGGAGATAAGTCCAGGCTCAGAGAAGAGACACAGCGTCTCTACAGATACCAGAAGCTCCTGGAGCAGTGGATCGAGGCTTTCACACGAGAAGAACATGATGTCTCTGTCTGGGTTGGAAAGTGTCTGAAGGACGTGTTAACACAGGTCCATGATGGCATCTCCCACCTCAACTGGGTGAAGAGTCTACAGTCCTATAAATCTGGGTAAGACTGAGTGATGTTCTTCTCATTTCTGTCTCTTCTCTCGTTCAAAGTCTCCAGTCTCTGTCTGAAGTTCTTGTCCCATTGCTGTGCTCCAGCCACTTTTAACAAACCTAATTTAAGCTCCTCTAATTTTAACAATTTTGGACGATTTCAAAGCTTCAATTTTTATCCAAAGTTTTAGAGAAAGTTGTTTCTAACAACATCTTAGATTTTATGAATAAAAATCACATATTTGAGAAATTTCCATCAGGTTTTAAATCATCTGACAGCAGTGAAACAGCCCTCCTCAAAGTCTTAAATGATCTTCTTGTAGCTGCAGACAGAGGAGAGTGCTCCATTTTACTTCTTTTAGATTTAAGCACAATTTTGACACATTTGACTGTGATTTTAATGAACCTCCTCAAAGACTGTGTTGGCATCTGAGACACTGCCCTGGACTGGGTTTATTTCTTTCTTTTAGACAGAAACTTTGTGGTCACTTTAGGTAATTTTACCTCCTCCTCTGCCCCCATTTCCTGTGGAGTCCCACAAGGTTCTATTTTAGGTCCAGTTGTATTTTCTATTTCTATGTGTCCCTTAGGACACGTTATAGCCTCCAAAACGTGTCCTTAAACTGCTTCAACGACATGAACAGTTGGATGGCACAGAATTTTCTACAACCCAACAGCTCCAAATCTGAAATCATTTTAATCAGCAATAGTCTCGTTCTCTCGCTCCCAACATCATCCCAGAAACATCAGCGTCATTTTAGACTCTAATCTCAACTTCCACCTTCACATCAAAAATGTTCCAGTCCTGTTTTCTCCACCTCTGCACAATTAGTCAAATCAAAACTATCTTCTCCCGCCCTGATCTAGAAAAGTCGTCCACACGCTCATCTTCTCCCGTCTAGACTATTGTCCCTCCCTCCTCTCCAGTCTCGACTTCAAATCCATCTCCTGCCTCTGACTGGTTCAGGAGCAGCAGCTCGGCTCCTCACTGGGTTCAACATCAACACATGACCCTGTTTGACTTCCCTTCACTGGCTCCTGTGGGTTTTAGAATCAATTTCAATATTTTAAAGCTCGTTTAGGTCTTGTACCAAGTCACATTTCAGAACTTAACCCTGTACAAAGCTTAGATCTTCAGGCAGGTCCCTGTGGTTGTTCCTCTTCAGTCTTAGACCTTCAGGTCCCTGTGGTTGTTCCTCTTCAGTCTTAGACCTTCAGGTCCCTGTGGTTGTTCCTCTTCAGTCTTAGATCTTCAGGTCCCTGTGGTTGTTCCTCTTCAGTCTTAGATCTTCAGGTCCCTGTGGTTGTTCCTCTTCAGTCTTAGACCTTCAGGTCCCTGTGGTTGTTCCTCTTCAGTCTTAGACCTTCAGGTCCCTGTGGTTGTTCCTCTTCAGTCTTAGACCTTCAGGTCCCTGTGGTTGTTCCTCTTCAGTGGTTCCTCTTCAGTCTTAGGTCCCTTAGTCTTCAGGTCCTGTGGTTGTTCCTCTTCAGTCTTAGACCTTCAGGTTCCTGTGGTTGTTCCTCTTCAGTCTTAGATCTTCAGGTCCCTGTGGTTGTTCCTCTTCAGTCTTAGATCTTCGGCTTTGGAACGACCTGCCTGAGGAGATCATCAGTATCATCTTTTAAATCACTTCTTAAGACTCTTTTTTTTTTTATCAGTTGGTCTTTCTTTAACTGGTTTTAGCTTGATTTTATTCTTAACTCTTGACTTTATTCTTATTTATTTTTATTCTATTTCATTAGTTTATTTATTATATTTAATTGAATTGTTTGCATCATTGTCTGTTTTTGTGTGATGGTATTTTTTATTGTCTTTTGCTGCTTGTACAGGACTTTGTAAACCTTGTTTTTAAAAGTGCTTCATAAATGAAGATTTATTATTATTATTCAATCTGATCTCTGCTGCTCTGAGCAGGTTTGGGAGGTTCTACCAGAGCAGCAGTGGAATCATTTTTGTCCTAAATTCTCCTCATAGTTTTTGTGGATGTGACTGAGGACAGATGTGAATGTGATCGATTATTATTGGTTTGACAAAGAAAAAGTGAAACAGAGGTTTGTGTAGCTCCTCTGCAGGTAAAGACTGACCACACACCTGAGTCTGACTGAGTCGTACAAAAACACGTGAAGGTCAAGTCGTTTATGACGTCACTGGGAGTTTTGTTTCCTGTTATCCAGTCAGAAAACAGAATGAGACTAGGGCTGTCGAGGTTGGGGAGTTTCTCCTCCTGTGGTGCAGCGGCTCAACATCCCCATCCCCCAGAGTTATAATATTTCCAGCGGCTCTGAAAACTCTGATGATTCACTTGTTACAGATGCACATGGACCTTGGTTGTCGTGTGGATATAATGTTGCTCCCAAAGGGAAGAAGTAACATTTGTCTTTGGAACAAGTTCCACTGCATCTCTCCAGCTCTCACTGTGGCAGCTCGAGTCAGAGTCCTGCACCGGGTCGGGTCAGGGCCCCGCACCGGGTCGGGTCAGGGCCCCGCACCGGGTCGGGTCAGGGTCCCGCACCGGGTCGGGTCAGGGCCCCGCACCGGGTCGGGTCAGGGTCCCGCACCGGGTCGGGTAACCACAGACTTAAGAGAGAGAGAACCCCGAGCACGAGCACTCGGAGCAGGTGTCTGCAAAGATCAATCAGGCGACAGCTGCACTTACCTCTGTGGGGCAGAGTTCTGAGACGGTCTTTTCTCCTGCGTTCACCCAACGGTCTACGTGGGCGCACCTTCGGGCTCGACAGTGAGTCCTGAATGAGTTTCGGTTTAGTCCTGGTTTAGTCTTGGTTCAGTCCGTGGTGTTTAAAGTATCTCGATCAATGTTTCTTCTGTTCAGTAAATAATTCCTGTGAAGTTTTGTCAGTCGAGTCGCGTCTCTGAATTCGCGTTCGTACTGAAGAAATCGTAACCGTTTCATTTCATGATTGTAATTCTTGAAGTTGTAACTTTTCAGTTCATATTCTGATGGATGCTTCAGTTAGAATGTTTTTAGTCTGTGTGTGGTTTATCTTGGGCACAGTTGGTAACATGTGGGATGTTAACGTGTCTGGACAGGTGCAGGTTTAACGTTGATATAATCACGGGTTAACGGGCGGGTGTGGTGCTGTTTTGCGTGGGTCCGGGCGGGTGCGGGTCTTCAAAAACAGACCTGTGCAGGACTCTGGGTCGGGTCACGTTGGTCACGTGCGGTGATCGCGGTGGCCCAACATGTACGGCCGTGGGCCTCTTGGTACCACGGTGATTGAGTTTTGTGGTTATTGCGACAGCCCTAAATGAGACTCACACAAATCTCTCCTTTGACAAATCCTATGACCAAAACCTGTGACAAATGAACCTAAAATGTCTCTGATCTGAACGTTTCTCCCTAAACCCCAGAACCTGCACCAGCATGAGTCAGTGCTAGTGCAGCCTCTGCAGCTCAGGGAGGAAATTCTGGAGGTTTTGAGCTTCACATGAAACATGAACATAAACTGAGACTGAGACAAACGCAGGACGTGTCTCTGTGTCTGTGTCTCTGTGTGTCTGTGTCTCTGTGTGTCTGTGTCTCTGTGTGTCTTGTCTGTGTGTCTCTGTGTCTCTGTGTGTCTGTGTGTCTGTGTGTCTGTGTGTCTGTGTGTGTCTGTGTCTGTGTCTCTGTGTCTCTGTGTGTCTCTGTGTCTGTCTGTGTGTCTGTGTCTCTGTGTCTGTGTGTCTGTGTCTGTGTGTCTGTGTGTGTGTCTGTGTGTGTCTGTCTCTGTGTGTCTGTGTGTCTGTGTCTGTGTGTCTGTGTGTGTGTGTCTGTGTGTCTGTGTCTCTGTGTCTCTGTGTCTCTGTGTCTGTGTCTCTGTGTGTCTTTGTCTGTGTGTCTCTGTGTCTGTGTGTCTCTGTGTCTGTGTGTCTGTGTCTGTGTCTGTGTCTGTGTCTGTGTGTCTGTGTGTGTCTGTGTCTCTGTGTCTGTGTGTCTTTGTCTGTGTGTCTCTGTCTGTGTGTGTCTGTGTCTCTGTGTCTCTTTGTGTCTCTGTGTCTCTGTCTGTGTGTGTCTGTGTGTCTCTGTGTGTCTTTGTCTCTGTGTGTCTGTGTCTGTCTGTGTGTGTCTGTGTCTCTATGTCTCTGTGTCTGTGTCTCTGTGTCTCTGTGTCTGTGTCTCTGTGTGTCTTTGTCTGTGTGTCTCTGTGTCTGTGTTGTCTCTGTCTCTGTGTGTCTGTGTGTGTGTCTGTGTGTCTCTGTGTCTGTGTGTGTCTGTGTGTCTGTGTGTCTGTGTCTGTGTGTCTGTGTCTGTGTCTGTGTCTGTGTCTGTGTGTCTGTCTGTGTCTCTGTGTGTCTGTGTCTCTGTGTCTGTGTCTCTGTGTCTGTGTGTCTGTGTGTCTGTCTCTGTGTCTGTGTGTGTGTGTCTGTGTCTGTGTGTCTGTGTGTCTGTGGACCAGTGTCTCGTTCTGGATCAGCTGAACCTGAGAACTGTGGGAAACTACAGAAGATAACTGTGATCTTTAAATGTCTCCACAGGAGGCAGGTGAGGTTCTTGAGACGACTTCTCCATGAGAACCTGGGAAAGTCAGGACGATACTTCCTGTACCGGAGAGACGAGGAGAGACTTGGAGAAAAGACACGGCGTCTCCGCAGATACCGGACGCTGGAAGAACCCGTGGAGATGTCCTCTCCCTGTGACCCGCCCACCGCCCTGAGCACGACGGGGAGGTTCTACCAGAGCAGCGGTGGAAAGACGAGTCGTTCTCTGTCCGCGCCGAACACCAGGAAGTATCTGAGGCGTTTGCACACGAGGACAGCAGGGGGCGCACTGAGGCGAGGCAGGAGCAGACTCACAGACGCTGGACTCAGACTCTGTTCTCAGGTCACACACGACTCTGGTCTCTCTGTGAAACCAGACGACCACAAGAACCTGAGCACCTCCAGAGTCTGACTCCAAACGAAGAGTCATGATGATCAGGTTCACCGATAATCGACGTTATTACAGTCGCAATAAAACCACAAGACATTAAAAATATATATAATCTGAACCATTTTAGAAGCAAAATATTGATTCAGTTTGTTCTCCAAAAAAATACAGTTTGTGTAAAATGTGTTTTTCTCTGATTTCACTTTTCACTGTTTGGTCCTGGTGTCAGTGAAAAACACTTAAATCATGATGTTTTTCTCACTAAAATCATAATAACTCACCCTTATGTCACAGATAATACTCCCTACAACTGTACAACAACTCACCCTTATGTCACAGATAATACTCCCTACAACTGTACAACAACTCACACTTATGTAACAGATAATACTCCCTACAACTGTACAACAACTCACCCTTATGTCACAGATAATACTCCCTACAACTGTACAACAACTCACCTTATGTCACAGATAATACTCCCTACAACTGTACAACAACTCACACTTATGTCACAGATAATACTCCCTACAACTGTACAACAACTCGCCCTTATGTAACAGATAATACTCCCTACAACTGTACAAACAACTCACTCTTATGTAACAGATAATACTCCCCTACAACTGTACAACTCACCCTTATGTCACAGATAATACTCCCTACAACTGTACAACAACTCACATTTATGTAACAGATAATACTCCCTACAACTGTACAACAACAACTCACCCTTATGTCACAGATAATACTCCCTACAACTGTACAACAACTCACTTTTATGTAACAGATAATACTCCCTACAACTGTACAACAACTCGCCCTTATGTAACAGATAATACTCCCTACAACTGTTACAACAACTCACTCTTATGTAACAGATAATACTCCCTACAACTGTACAACAACTCACCCTTATGTAACAGATAATACTCCCTACAACTGTACAACAACTCGCCCTTATGTAACAGATAATACTCCCTACAACTGTACAACAACTCACATGTATGTAACAGATAATACTCCCTACAACTGTACAACAATCATCATTTCATTTTGTTTTCTTTACAAACTCTTGTAAATAACTGAGTTTTTTATTACTTATTTGTGTATTTTTTAATATTTTTTCTTGTACATTTACATTTATATAATTAAGTTTTATTATTTGACGTCCTTTTCTTCATGTTTTTAAGATTTATTTAGAGTTTTATTACACAGTTTTTCTTTGTTTTGTCTGAGTTTAAGTCTAATTTTGCATCTGTGATTTGTATATATTTATATTTAACCATTAATTAAAATAAACGGATGATTTTACCATAGACTTCAATGTAAAACACACTCTTATTCTGCAGTAGCTTCTGTATAAAAACCAGCAGATGGATCCAAGTGTCTTTTACTGACACTTTTTTTATTGACTCTGTTTCTGAACTTTTACTTTATGTTCTGTTATTTTCTGTTTAAACTTTAAACATTTGCCTGCAGAGGAAATGGAAATAGTTGTAAATGTGTAAATGTGTTTGTGTGTGTAAAAGAAATGCACAAAATCTTTAATAAACTTTTATAAACCATTTTAAAGCTCGAACTGTGGTCATAATTTAACTTACTGTGTTTTTCGAGTCTCTGTTCTGTCTCAGGGGGCGGGGATAGGTGTGTCTCTCAGGGGGCGGGGACAGGTGTGTGTCTCTCGTGTGTCATTCGTTCATTTGTTTTTCAAAATAAAACCAAAAATAAGAAAATGAAAAAAAAACAAAACAAAAAACTATTTTCTTCATTATTTAAACCAAAATGAAAAAACAGATAAAGATTGTTTTTTTTTTTTATTTTGTGTTTAAATGTTGTGTTTCTGTTTCCTCATCTCGACATGTAACTGCTGACGACACACACACGTTTGTTGTATCAAGTTTATTCACCCAATTGTGTGTAATTAATAAAAATAAATAAAATAAAAAAACACCAACAAAAACAACAACAAAACTCATTCTTCAAAGGAATTTTGAAAAGAAAAACTTTAAAATAATCTGAACTAAACATCTTTCCTTTTCAGTTCCCCTAAAGTAAAGGAGACACAATTTAAAATTTTGAATAAAATTTATCCAAACAATGAATTCCTAAAAGAAAAATTCTAATTTGAGAGGTAGATAAATGTTGTTTGTGACACTGGGGAAAAGGACTTGGAACATCTTTTCTTTTTATGTAATTTGGTATGTGACGCACACAAAAATGTGCAGTCACATTTTTTTATGTGATTTTATAATTTGGCTCTTTGTTTTTTGTTCTGATAAGTAACTCCCTTAGTTTCACATGTTTCTGTTTAATACACACATCAAGAAGCTCAGACTTCAGGTCATTGTGCAATTCACACTGGGAAGGATTTTCTGAAAAAGTGAACATCAAACCTCCATGTTTGTTTTCCCAGTGGGACGTGTCTATTGACAAAGTCGATCTTTTCAAGTCTTTTGAACCATTTCACTTTTGTTTCTGGTTCTGATATTGTCATATTTTAGTTTTGGGATTCGGACGTCGTAATTGTTGTGGTTGTTGTTTGTTCTAACAGCTGAAAACGACTCGAGAAATGTGTTTGTAAACTTCATAAATGCAAAAGTGAATCAGATGTGTGTGACTCAAACCTCTGTTCAAACTGTTTCTCTTCCCAACGGAATTGAAAAATAGTGAAAGGTGAAGGTGATGGGCAGGATTGATCCACAGGAAGAACCAAAAAGGAAACATTTGTCTGACTAAATCATCCCAAGTTTACAGAGAACATTAACAATGTTATTTTTAAGTGTTTTGTTTTTTTTTGTTTGTTTTTTTTTGAGAGAGAGAATTGCTGAATAAAAACATTGTGTGATTAAAACATAATCGCTTGAATAATTGTGATTTCAATATTGACCAGAATAATGGTGATAATGGTTTAGTCCATAATGGAGCAGCTGTAACACAGAGGGAGTGGAGCTCAGACGAACATCACTCTGTGTAAAAATACAGACACATGTTAGTCTGGATTTGTCAGACAAAAGCTGATTTGAAATCCATAAATCAAAACCTGAGGATTTCTGTCTCGTCGCCTTTTAGAACTGCAGGTTTCATCGTGTCAGAAAAAGTTTGTGTAGTGATTTTTAAAGAGTAATCTCCTCTACTGCCAGCAGATGGCGTCCTAACCCCAGCTCAGTGTTGTGGTTTTACTGTAGAAACTGTATGAGGACAAACTTTATTCACTTTACTGTGTGACGACAGATGAATGAATGAATGAATAATGGGCTTTATTGTCACTTCTCTCCACATGTTCATGTTCATACAAAGAACCGACAACGTGGACCGGAGCAGGAGTCAGGGAGCAGACAGGAACAAACACTGCAGCACAACATGAGGAAGGGGGAGGAGAAAACAAAAAGAACCACCCCAGATCCTGTTCTGACATCACGACACTGGGAGAAAAACACAAAAACCAACAGCGTCCAGACACAGAACAAACACTTGACAGGACGAGCAGCAGG